ATCCACTTGTTAGAAAAGATTAATCAAAAGCAGCCCACATTCAAGTATTTACAGCACTAACCACTTAACAAACAGGCATGCTGTTGCTGGGTGCCGTCGAGTTGATTTCGACTCATAATGACCCCATGTGACAGAGCAGAACTGCTCATAGGGTTTTCTTATAGGAACAGGAAAAAAAAGTTAAAATGCTGACTTTTGAATTAACTAAGCCACCACCCCTAAAAGAGTGCCAATCTTAATTTTTAAGAACACATATGGGCAGTGTGACAACTCTACAAATAAAAAGGGGAAGGGAACAAGAAGAGAAACAGAAGAGTAATAATAAGAGCTGAAAAGAAGGACTTAGAGGAAAAGATTAAAGGTAAGGAATGTAGCGGTGAAGTAGTCTGGGAGTATAATCACAGTAAAAGTTAATCACTATATTAGTTGTCTAAGGAACCCTGGTGGTGCAGTGGTTAAGCACTCTGATGCAACCCACCAGCCACCCTGAGGAAGAAAGATGTAGCAGTCTGCTTCTGTAAAGATCACAGCCTGGGAACCCCTATGGGACAGTTCTACTCTGCTCTATAGGGCCGCTATGAATTGGAATTGAGTCAAGGACAATGGGTCTGGTTTTGGGGTTTATACCAGTTCTGCTGCATGTACTCCAATCACTGATTTATTTCTGAGCATAAGTCAAGGTGTTCAATAATTGTTCAGGCCCTGGCTACTTTAGAGATCTCAATTATTTGTTATAACAACGAGACATAGAGATCAGAAACTCTATTCCTACTCGTCAAATGAATCTCTCAAGAAGGTGAAGACAAAGCTGCTTCTGATGGTCCTTTTCTAACTTTACAGCCTCCTGCTTATCTTGATGTTAACTGAATCTCAGTTACTGAGCTTCAGGGGTAAACATAAATACTACCTTTTCAATCTAGACTGATCCACAAGGAGTAATAAAAATGATAGCTTTGTAGAAACCCTTTTTTTACACAACTGACACCAGTATTTTGATATGGACATGAGATTAAATTAAAAACAACATAGCAGAAAAAATATTATATAGCTTTAGAACTTATTTCATATGAATTTTATCTAGGATGTTATTTTACTTGTTCTGAGGCTAGCTACAAAAAACTTTACAGCTGGGGATAAAATGGAGAAACTGAAATATTTATTCTAGAAAAGGTTAAAGGTAAAACAGCCTCCAATACAGAAAATACTATTGTTTGAAAGAAAATGGATCCTTCTGGGACACTACCAAAAAGCCAAAAGCACTCAGAATGGGCACAACTTTACTACAACTCAACACACATTAGCTCTGGAGTGTAAACCAAATAAGGGTGGCGCTCACAGTGAAGTAGCACCATAACAAGAGTGGAGAAAATGGGGTTCTGACATCCCCAGAATCTTAATGAGGCCTTGGATCACAAGACAACTTTGTACCTGAGCACAAACATTTACTATATTGTTAGAAATAGAGGGTGATTCCTCCTTAAACATGGGCGATTAAATATATTTCACTCTACTTGCCAATGAAAGCCCGGTAAAATGACAGTAAAGGGAACAGATTAGGTAAAAACTCAAAAGGCCAAAGACTGTGCTAAAGAAGACAACCACAGACTAGAGATGTCAGCAGACTTTCAGAGGATAGAAGGCAGATGGAGGAGGGGTAAATGAACTAGCAGAGTAGAAACAGTGGAAGCCTAAGTGCCTGCAAGAGCCAAACGAGAAACAAACTGATTCACCTCCAGAAGGCTCAGGAAATGGCATAGAGGGGAAGGGAGAAACGTCCAAGAACAAAAGTCTAGTTCTAAGTTTAAAAGCACTGTTTAGACACCCAACCCCGCAGGAAAAGACTGCAGGCTTAGTCTCCACAGAAATGCAACAGGAGAGACTCTGGATTCAAGGACCTTGGGGACAGAAGACAGCAGTGAGGCGCCTAAGAGGATCAAGTTAAACTCTGAACTAAGCCACCTGCAGGCAGTCTTCGCTATGGAAAATAAATAGCCCTAGAGAAGAGGCCTCTAGCTAGGGAAAGGGGGGAGAGGGTAGCAGGACTATTTTTTAAAAAGCCAGTTTGCCAGGAGTCACCCCACAATGAAACTCAAGGTTGACCCATGCTCCACCCATAATACACAAAGGCTCCAATCAGCGCTTTAGAATCTCACTTTTATATAATAATGAAATTTGAGAAAAGCTTCCAAGAAGAAAGACAGTTTAAAACAAGGGGAAAAATGAACTCAAGAGGTCTCAGGAACAATCCAGTAAGCAAAAGAAAATTTCAATAACAACAAAAACTATAAATAATATCCCTAGTAAGGTAACAGAAGGTATTTCCTCCATGAAATATGAGTAAAAAAATAAAAGTAACATTCTCAAATAAAAAGTGCAAAGAGCTGGACAAAAACAAACCCGTTGTCGCTGAGTCAATTCTGACCCATAGCGACCCTATAGGACAAGAGCAGAACTGTCCTATAGGCTTCCAAAGAGCGGCTGGGGGATTCGAACTGCTGACCTTTTGGTTAGCTGTCAAGCTCCTAACCACTGCACCACCAGGGCTCCGGACAAATATTACAAGAAATTGTCTAAAATGTAGAACAAAAAAGGCCGATGATCAGAAATGGGGAAAAAAGAAAAAAGAAAATTAGAGAATTGATCTATTTCAACATTCAGCTAATAGGATATTCAAAAAGACAGAACAGAGAAATTACATTGAAAGGGAGGGAATTACCCAAAAACTATTAGAAACTCTCTAGAACTGAAGAAAATGAGACTCTAGTCTAAATGGGCCCATAAAGTACCCAACACAGTTGAACGAGGGGAGACTACCAAGACACATTAAATTTCAGAACATTATTATGAATAAAAAGAAAATCCTAAAAGCCTCTGGAAATTTTTTAGAAAGTCACAGAGAAGACCGAGTAAGAATGGCATCAGACTTCTCAAGAGCAACAATAGAAGCCAGAAGGCAATGGCGTAATGTCTTCAAAATTCTGAAGGAAGATCACTTAACATAGAATCTACAGCTAAAACAACCAAAACATTTTTAGATACACAAGGTCTCAAAATCTATCTCCCATCCATGAAGCAAGGGAGAAAACCAAAAAAGAAGACAGAGGATCAAGAAAACAAGAAGAGAAATGAACAGAACTTCCAGAGTGATAGAAAACAGAATGTCTGGGCAAAGGCCTCACAGCAGGCATGGCCAACAACCAGTCCAAGGAAAGAGAGGAGATGGGGAATAAGTTTACCTGATACATATGACTCAGTGCAACTGGCATTGAGAAGATGTCTTTGGGTTTTTGTTGTTGTTGCTGTTGTTGTGTTAAAGGGTTTGAGGAGAATACATGAAAATTAAGGACATGGAAAAATAAAGCAATGATTAATTCCAGACAAAACAAAGTTATACAAAGAAACAAAATGCAATTATAGTATAACTTGGCTCATTTGGGAACAATATTTACATAGTTATAAGGAAAATACTGAACATTGATTAAATATCGTGATATAAACATACTGGGAGAATATGGAGAAGGTGAAGTTGGGGGGAGGGCGGAGGTGGTACAGGAAGAGAGCTAAATTTCTAATATACCTTAACAGGCAGTCAATGGATTTAAAAGAAAAAAAAAAAGGAGGCATCAGTATTTTATTTAGAATATGAAGGTTATTGTTTGTTCTGTGCCACTGAGCCGACTCCAACTCACAGCAACTCCGTGTACAACAGAACAGAACAACTGCCCGGTCCTGTGTCATCCCCACAATCATTGCTATGTTTGAGCCTACTGTTGCGTTCCCACCTGAGGGGTTCAAAGCTTCCAGCACTGTATCAGACAATGTTCCGCTGCTGTTCATAAGGTTTTTACTGGCCATTTTTTCAGAAGTAGATCACCAGGTCCTTCTTCCCAGTCTGTCTTAGTCTGGAAGCTCCACTGAAACCTGTCTACCATGAGTAACCCTGCTGGCATTTGAAATACCGGTGGCATGGCCTTCCAGCATCCCAGCAACACGCAAGCTACCACACTATGACAAACTGACAGACAAGTGGTGGAGAATACGAAGGTAAATTCTAGGGAAAAAAACAGCTAGAGGAGTGATGGGCAGCTTTTTCTGGAGAGGCAGAAAAGAGTAGGGGACTGCTGACTCATTATTATAAAACTTTATGGTGCACACACAGAGACAATTTGCAAAGCAAGGGAAACACACACGTCACTTTAACTGCTATCAAATCTATCTCACAGGTCATACTCATTTCTGTTACTGTTCAGAGACATACCAACGTGTTCAATATAAGGTACTGTTACCTGTCTTATCGTATCATTCATATGTGTGTGTGTGTGTGTGTGTGTATATATATATTTAAATACCCACCACAGGTTCCCCTAACAGAGTACAACAGTATAAACTAAACTACCACAACAATTATACAACAGATGTGTAATATTTTCTGAGGACTAAGAAAAGATAAAGAATGATCAGAGTTAGAAATTCTAAAGAAAGTTCTTCTAAAGTGTTAATAATGTATAATTACTAGAACTAAGTATACCTCCACAAGAGTTGGACTGTATTTTTTTTTTTCCCTTTATTTTGCACTTCCATTATCTGTAGTACTGGTACAATACCAGAAGTACATTGACAAATACTCTCTAACATGGAGGCATTTGCATGGCTATATTTATAGCTGTACATTTGGACCATTTATAATTTAGGCATTTAAATAATTCTCATGAATCAGGAGATCATCTGGTCTAGGCGATACGAAATTTTGCTTATGAGAAATTTTTGACACAAAATAGGACAAATCATATTGACAAGTTAGAAATTGTTCTAATACTCTTACGACTTCAGGCAGCTCTGTTTCCCTTCCATTAAAGGTAATTTTACAATGTCAAATCAAGTTTTTTGGCATTTAATTCTACTGAAACAACTTTTTTTCTTTAACAAATTATGAATGCATTTTTCAGTTTTCAAACTGCTTCTAACATAATTGTGAAGGCTAACTATCAATGGGTACTTACGTTGACTAATCCAAAATAGTGCTCATTGACTGGAAACTGCTCTGGACCAATCTCTTTCTCTAATGCCGAGGCATTGGCGCCCTATAAAATGAAAAACAAAAATCTTAGTTGTTAGAGTATTTGACACAATTACAATTACAGAGGCATAATGGAGCCATTCTTAGAAAAATTATGCATGTCCCCTATAATGCATAACAACATTGAAAGAAAATAAAATAGGATACTAAAGAATAAAGGCTTCTAATAACTTGACTAAAAACTAGTTTACAGAAACTTTCTCATGGAACAAAAGACTAGATCAAAGAATTATATGCGTAACTTGTTCCTCTGTTCTAAGCAACGAATTAAAGTCCCTGGAGACCTGGGGTGGTATAGATGGTTAACACGCTCAGCTGCTAATAGAAAGTTTGGCAGTTGGAGTCTACCTAGAGGTGCCTCAAAAAAAAAAAAAGGTCTGGTGATCTACTTCCAAAAAATCAGCCATTGAAAACAATACTCTGGTGCGCATGAGGTCACCATGAGTGGGAAATGACTCAATCACAACTGGTTTCTTTGTCATGTACGTTAATGGGAGAGTAATCCAGGAGCAAGGAGCCCTGGTGGCACAGTGAGTGGTTAAGGGCTCGGCTGCTAATCGAAAGGTTGGTGGTTCAAACCCACCAGTGGCTCCACAGGAGAAAAGACCTAGAGATCTGCTTCAGGAAAGATTAAAGCCCAGAAAACCCTACAAGGCAGTCCTACTCCGTCTGATAGCGTTGCTATGAGTCAGAATCAACTCCACACACCCAACAACAATCTAAGAGCAGCCACCTTGGAGAGGTGAAACTTTGTGAAATTAAATATGAATATATTCAATGCTTAGGAATTCTTCTGAGGTATCTACCTGAGAAATTCTCCCACAGAACTAAAAGGTAACGAAAAGGCTTACTGCAAAAGCTTATAAGCAGCCATCTAAGATACTCCACCGATCCCACCCTGTCTGGAGCAAGACAGAATGAAGAAAACCAAAGACACAAGGCAAAGATTAGTCCAAAGGACTAATGGAACACAACTACCACAGCCTCCACTAGGTATGAGACCAGCACAACTAGATGGTGCCCGGCTACCACCACTGACTGCTCTGAAAGGCATCACAATAGAGGGTCCCAGACAGAGCTGGAGAAAAATGTAGAACAAAATTCAAACTCACGAAAACAGACCAGACTTACTGGTCTGACAGAGACTGGAGAAACCCTGAGAGTATGGCCTCCAGACACCCTTTTAACTCAGTAGTGAACTCACTCCTGAGATACAACTTTCCGCCAAAGATTAGACAGGCCCATAATACAAACAATAATACATGTAGCTAAACCACGTACACAAGACTAAATGGGCACATCAGCCCAGGGGCAAGCACAAGAAGGCAGGAGGGGACAAGAAAGCTGGACGAGTCGAGAAGGGGAGAGTGTTGACATGTCATGGGGTTGACAACCAATATCACAAAACAATATGTACATTGTTTAATGAGAAACTAATCTGCTCTGTAAACTTTCATCTAAAACATAAAAAATAAATTTTAAACAATATATATACAGTATCATACAAAAAAAAAGAATGCTTACTGCAGTATCGTTTGATTGCAAGCTGACAGCAATCTAGGTGGTCCACCATTAAAGGAACAGATATGTAAAGTATAGCAGACTACTATGTAGTAGAGTCAGAATAAATGAACCAGATTTATATACAGAAACATGGATAAACTTCAAAACCATAATGTTAAATGAAAAAAGAAACAATGAGATGATCACAAAACACCACTAGCATGTGTGTATGTGTGTATATATGTGTGTGTGTATATATATATCACAAGGAAAGTGGACTAGAAGGGTGTACACTAAATATACTTGAATGGATGCTGGAAGAGGACTGGGAAATGAAATTGAGGATGAAGGATAAAGAGGAAAAAAATAAAATCCAACAAAAGAAGGGCCTTGCACAGACTATAATAGTGTGCTATAGTCTGAGGAAGATGATCAACTTAATTCTAAGCTCCTGAAGTCCTTGAAGAAAAAGCAGAGGAGGGAGGTGAGAGGGGCTAAAGCCCTGAGCACCATGTATGGGTAAATCACACACACAGATACTACTAAGTGAAATCGGAATGTACTTTGAAAGAAAAATGAAAGCAATTCTGATAAGTCTAGATATATTTACCTTGAAAATTCTCAAGAAAACAATATATTACCAGATAAATATAACTAATACGGTATTACTCAAAAAATACCCTAATACCACTTTGAAGAGATATATACAACGGACACAATGTGACTCCTCAATTACCCTGATTATATGGTTAACCACACATTAGTCCTTAGAATCCCGTGCCTGCTTTTTCCTTATTTAGCTCAGTTCCTGAACCTGAGACATCTTTTTTAGACACTGCATCCTTACAGTCACTTCCTGACAGGTCAAGACTGAAAATTAAGTCCTGTTTAAAGGTACTTAATGAGTTGGTAAGGTGGCCCTACTGGCGCAATGGTTAAGCACTTCGCTGCTAACCAAAAGGCTGGAGGTTCAAACCCACCGGCGGCTCCATGGGAGAAAAGACAAGGCGATCTGCTCCTGTAAAGAATACGGCCTAGGAAACCCTACGGGGCAGTTCTAGTCTGTCACATGCGGTCGCTACGAGTTGGAATTGACTTGATGGCACACAACAAGGATGAATTGATGCACAAGTTCTACCAAAACATGACATTTTTTCTAATGTCCTCCAGCCAATCATCATCTGTATATATACATGACATTATCTTTATTTTTTTAATTTAGGATTTACTTTTAGATAAAATCCTGATAAACCAGCTAGTTTATAAACATAATTTATTTCTAAATTTGGATATCAATTAATCATTGTAATTTAATGGACTAACAACACCAAATTCAACTATTACAGCACCTTCCGAGATCCACTGAACCAAAGTGTCTGACTAGCGGGAATGTCGCAAGTTCCACTCCCACACCCTGTCAGCTCAAGGACCTTGTCACAAAATTTGCTCACATATGTTGAAAAATATCAATAAGCCCAGATTTTTACCATCTACTCTAAAAATTCAGAAGGAGCCCCAGTGGTATAGTGGTTAAGCACTCAGATGCTAACCAAAAGGTCAGCGGTTCGAACCCACCAGCCACTCCATGGGAGAGAAGACCTGGCATACTGCTTCCATGAAGATTATTACAGCCTTGGGAAACCCTGTGGGGCAGTTCTACCTCATCCTATAGGGTAGCTACGAGTTGGAATTCGACTCGATGGCCAACGGGTGTAAAAATTCAAACTGCTAATTGGTTTATTCAAATTGGTATAATCCCTCCAGTCTCCAGAAAAAAAGAAAAGAAAAGGTGCTGTTATCTAAAATACAACCTCATACATCTAACAGGAACACTAAAATACCAGCACACACACCTTAGGACAACGGCATTTCTCGCCCTTAGGATGAACTAAAAACAGAACAACAGCATGTGAACAGTATCTTTCCAGTGTTACAGCAATTGCATCATGCCACACACCCTGGACTCTAACCATCCCAGATGTCCCTCTTGTCCCCATATATAACATGTAGTACTTTCATTCACTAGCTTAAAATGCCCTTCCCCCATCCCCACACTGTCCTCATGATAGTTTCAGTATTTATTAGCCTCTCTGTGCCTCACCTTCCTAACTCTAAAGGAAAATGTCACCACCGACTTTTCAGGACAACCACAAGAATTAACTTTTAACTTTTTGTAAGGCATCTGGTGGTGTCTGGTATGTAGTCCAAGTGTCCTGTAAATGTTGGTTCTCTTCTCCCTCTTCCCTTCAACTACCAGAAGGAAAAAAAACATTATTCTCATTGGCTAGTAACAGTAATAAATGCGATCAGATTCATGCAAAAGCTAAGAAATAACAAAGAGGCAAAAGTCATAAGAAAAAAAGAGAAAGCTGTAGTACAAAAAATAGACCCTTCTCTCTCCTCTGGCAGGCAAGAGCTGATTCCACTCAACAGCCACTACAGACATCATCACTGGGCTCCCCAGAAGCCTGACAGCAAAGCACAACCAAAACCCAATTCTGATTCTGTGGAGAGTAAACCAGGTGTGATAAAGTGCAAAGAGCCTGTCTTAATCATCTAGTGCTGCTGTAACAGAAATACCACAAGTGGATGCTTTCAACAAAGAGAAGTTTATTCTCTCACAGTCTAGTAGGCTGTAAGTCCAAATTCAGGGCATCAGCTCCAGGGGAAGGCTGTCTCTCTCTGTCAGCTCTGGAGAAAAGTCCTTGTCATCAATCCTCCCCTCGACTAGGAGCTTCTCAGCACAGGGACCCCGGGTCCAAAGGACGCACTCTTCTCCTGGCACAATTTTTCTGTTGGTATGAGATCCCCATGTCTCTCTGCTCGCTTCTCTCTTTTGTTATCTCAGAGATTGACTCAAAATACAACCTAAGTTTGTAGATTGAGTTCTGCCTCATTAACATAAGTGTTGCTAATCCTACCTCATTAACATTAGGATTTACAACACACAGGAAAATCACATCAGATGACAAAATGATGGACAATCACATAATACTGGGAATCACAGACTAGCCACGTTGACACATATTTTTGGGGGACACAATTCAATCCATGACAGAGCCCTAGATCATTGTCTTTCTGGATTTAAAAATCCTCGTTCATAAAATAAAAGAGTCAGACTCCTCAGGGATTTTCAAAATCCCTAGCTCCAAGTTTATTTGCTGGGTTTTCAAATAAACCTTTACATGAATTAAGGTTTGCACAGCTAAAAATGTTTAGAAAATGAAAGGATTAGGTTTCTAAAGCCCCTTCTAGCTCCATATTCTATCATTTCCAATCACTTTTATCAATGCTTCTGGGGATACTACTGTATTACTATACGGACACAGAATTTCAAGCCAACCAATATATGCCAAGCAGCAAAATCCAACAGTTTGAGGGATTATGGTTATGGATGAAGGTAGTATATCAAGATGCAAAGTAACAAAGAGAAAATGGAATTCACTTTATTACAGTTCTAACCAAACGTATAGCATAGTAAACTATCCCTCACTATAGTAA